AGTGATCTTAATAGGACAAAACTGCAGACTCTTGGAAAACCACCCAAATCAAATTTCAGCACTTTTTTGACAATTCTCACACATACCAGTAGACAGCTGGTAATGTGCTGTATTAAAGTACATTCTCATCTGGTTTTGCTCTGGATTAGGCTGCTGCTTTAAAAATGTAAATGTTAACTCCCAGAACAAACTTTGCTTGATGATGTTAAGCTTATGTGTAAACTGAAATGCACCAGACTTTCATTACAAGAACTCAACCATTTAAAAAGATGAAAATTACAAGATGGGGCACATTTTTTAAACAAATATTGGAACATTCAACCTGCATTTTTTTATTATGTTTCCCCATCTAACACTTCTATTGCTGCATATAAATGAAAACTAATGCTTCTTTAACACAAAAACTGTAACGGATCAAAAATCTTCTGGACTGCTACAACTCCTGCAGGGAATCTGCCTCATGGTTATGGCAAAGCAAAGTTCTGATGTGTGGCAGCTGATTGCACTCTCTTCTGAGCACCACCTAGGTGAAAAGCAGGCTCTCCTGTGTACACACAGGGCACCAGAGTGCCACATTCCCAAAGCTTCTGTACACAGATCCTCCACACACAAAGCCAGGAGACTCCATTCTAGTGTAGAGGACACGCTGCAGGAAGAGAGGCAGGGTCTAGAATAAGGCACCATGTACATGCTTTTGGTAAGATCAACCACTCCAAGTTTTTTGTCAGCTCCTCAAGCAGCATATTTCTTACATCTGGCATGCAAAATACTGTAATAGTGAAGAACCTCCCATTTTGATTTAAATGAATGCATTTATTTCCATATGGGAGACTGTAAGTTAAACAAACACATTTCTCTCTTTGCACATGAAAGCATTGTTTTGTCACAGATGTACAGTATAATACATTTATTTTCTCAATTGTTTTGTATTTGTAAGGCACTGCCAGTTATTTGGATGGGTTTGTAAGGATGAAGCAAATTGCTCTGTGGGGCTCTATTCAGGGAACATAATATTCCCACAAAAGCACCATAATTCTGCATGCAGCAACACAAACTGCCACCACATTGCAGCAGCTGGCAGGGTGGATAGAGTTAGCATTATCAACACCAGCATGACAACTCCACTCCAAAACCCCCTTACATGCATAAATTAATGATGAATGTACATTGATTAGCCCCCACCCAGACTCCAAGGAACCCTGCCTTCCCTGCAATACAACTTGGAACCTCACCACAGTTAGTTTGGCCATTCACAAGGCCTGGGGAGCACTTCAGCTTGTACTTGAATTGCACTGGCCTTGCCCAAACCCCTTGAGCCTCACTTGAATATGTTCAGTGGGAAGATTAGGGACTGTGGAACAGCCCCCGAGCCACGGGCAACAGCCAAGAACACAGAATATCATCAGCCACATGCCAGGAGGTGGATTTTGGGAAGTTTCCCACACAGAAAGCTGAGAGGAAGAAGATCCTGACAGGGACTCTGTCTTTGTTCTAGAAGTTAGATATAAATTCAGCTGCACCTGTCCTTCTGACCAACTGCCTCCCTGCTCCAGGCAAGACAAGCTGTCACAGAAACACTTCACAAGACTGTGTTTTTCATCACAACTACAGCAAGCTGGAAGTATGCACAGGCTCAGTGGACACTGCTGCCCCCAAACTCTCAGGGTTTTCCATCCATTTGCCAGCTTCCTCCACAGCTCTGTCTAACTAGTTCCCACCTGCCACACTCTGGCTTCCTGAAACTTGACCAGAAAGGTCTTCCTATCCATTTCTAAGTCCTTCTGGTTACACAAAAAAGGGTTTTAAAAAAAAAAAAAAGAAAGAAAATCTGTGTTCTTAATGCAGGCTGACTAACCCATGTTAGCTAACTCAGGTTAAAGCAGTGAAGACCAGGCAGCTTGTCCTGGAGGCTCAAGCAGAACATAACAAGGTAATTCACATTCCAAGTCAGCTTGTGTGATATTGAATTTGAGTGCAATGCCTTTAGCATGCATAGGTAGATAGGTAAGCTTGTACTGAGTATATAAGACAATAATAATGATGCACAGGCAGAGTGAATGCCTTGATCTGATAGGAAAGCCTCCTGTTCTACTGCTACCTCTCTAAAATATCGCTGCAGTTCCCTGTCAGGTGACTTGACCTTTAAATGCACATCTTCACTTTATGATTAGTTTCTGTGGGTCATCTATGGAGCTGCTTAAGCCAGGCTTCACCTTGCATACTAATGACTCCTCTCAGCCTAGGAATATGCTCTTGGGTGCTGCTTCTGTTACCATACCCAAACTCAGCTTGAGAAAACCTTGCACAGCCTAGTTTATATGAGCAGGTGCACTGAAATTCAGCAAGAGAGGAAAATCTGTGTCAGCAGGAATATCAAGAGAGGAGCAGTGCAAGGAGGCCTTAAAGAAACAACACCCCTTGCTTTATACACATTGTCTCCTACAGACATGAGAGCTGGAACTTCCATGAAGAGGTCTAACAGGGACTGAGGCACTAACTTACAGGTCTAGTCTCTAATGGAATCCTTTTTCCAGCTATAGAGAAGTTGTTTGGGATCCCATTGCTCCTCTAAGCCCATCTTTCCATCACCTCTTTGTATGCAGCATCATTTAGCAGCTCGTCTTCAAGCAGTAACAGCTCATGACCTCAGAAAATTTACTACTTATAGCACTAACAGATAAAAATAAAAACAATGCAGAAGGGAATTTGGGCAGAAAAGAAATCTCAGCTTTCTAGATTTTTTTTGCAGGATTGTTTTAGCTTTGATCAGTCAGCTCTACTGTGGAAGCCAGGGAAGAGCTGACTCAGTGAACACACTAAGTGGTGATTACACACAGCAACCTAATGACAGCAAGATGATGTTGTGGTCACTTGTGTACAGCTGCTGAGCATCACTGGGAGAGACAAAAGAATAAGGAAGAGCCCTGCAATATATTGCTGTGCTTTCTAATAGACCAGTAAAATTCCTGTTGGCAGAGTCCTGAGGGAGGTCTCAAACCTTTGCTGGAGCTGGTGGCTGGCAGAAAAAGGCAGTGTCAGATGAGTTCTCTAAGCTCTTTGCAAAGGTGAGCCAGACCATTATCCTTGTTTTGCACATCTCCATGTGATCAGCCCAAAGTGACTTAATCAAAATGAGCCACCCCTCAAGATGTCCAGCCCATCTTTTCTGATTCCCAGCTGTCATTCATCAAGCTACAACAACAGATCCCTGGAAGACTACAGTCTCTGACCACTGAAATGGCAGTGAGCAAATCCCATAAAGAGCACGAGAGCTGGGATGATTTTCCTGCTGCTGGTTGTTACCTGAGAAAGTTCTAGAGAGGCTGTTCTCACAAACAGCACAGGAAGGCAGTGCTGTTACAGAGTCCACTGCATGGGTGGGTTGATCTCACTGCCAGCCACAGCAAAGTGAATAATTACACAGAAATAACTCCAATAGGAGAAGCAGATTATCTGTGCATTTGCTAGCAAGGTGGATGAGAGTGTTGTAGAGTCCTAGAACGGTTTGGGTTGGAAGACAACTCAAAGATCACTTAGTTCCAAACCTCTGCCATGGATAAGAACACCTTCCACTAGACGAGGTTGTTCCATGCCCTGTCCAACCTTGCCTTGAACACTTCCAGGGATGGGGCATCCACAGCTTCAGAGTCTGTGAGACCCCCATGCCAGGGTCTCACCACTCCCACGGCAAAGAATCAGATCAATTAAAGGTGTTTACCAATTCAATTGCACTTAGACACCGAGGAGCAACAGAAAAGAGGCAGATAGTGTGGCTGGATGAGAGCATAAGAGCAGGTCAAAGAGATTTAAAAGAAGATTTGAAGTATGAACTTCTCAGCCTAAGGCAGCAGTTACAATGAAATACACTGATATCACATGGACATCAATACAGATCGAAAATGGGTCAGTTTTACAAAACACCTCCCTGTTTCCAAGTGGATTATTAAGAAACAAAAAAAAAAAGGTGGAACTATTCACTGCAGTTACCACAGCTGACACTGTCTAGAGCTGAAGTCATTACATGACTTCATGTCTGAAAGGAACGAAAAGAAAACAGATCCCTTTTTTTGGAGCCCTGCGCTGAAACTGCCAGTCTGACTCCCAAAACAGGAGAAGCAGATTATCTGTGCATTTGTTAGCAAGGTGGATGAGGGTGCTGCAGAATCCTAGAACGGTTTGGGTTGGAAGACACCTCAAAGACCAGTTAGTTCCAAACCTTTGCCATTGGCAAGGACACCTTCCATTAGACAAGGTTGTTCCATGCCCTGTCCAACCTTGCCTTGAACACTTCCAGGGATGGGGCATCCACAGCTTCAGAGTCTGTGAGATCCCCCTGCCAGGGTCTCACCATCCCCACAGGAAAGAATCAGAAGTGTTTACCAATTCATTTACACTTAAACACTGAGGAGGACAACAGAGAAGGGGCAGATAGTGTGACTGGATCAGAGCACAAGAGCAGGTCAAAGAGATTTAAAAGAAGTTTTGAAGTATGAACTTCTCAGCCTAAGGCAGCAGTTGCAACGAGATACACCAATATCACATGGCAATCAATACAGATCGAAAATGGGTCAGCTTTACAAAACACCTCCCCGTTTCCAAGTGGATCATTAAGAAACAAAAGAAAAAGTGGAACTATTCACTGCAGTTACCACAGCTGGCACTGTCTAGAGCTGAAGTCATTACATGACTTCATGTCTGAAAGGAACGACTGGAGAAGGAAACAGGTCCCTGTGCGCGGGGCTGAGCCGCCGCTTCCCCGGGTGACCGCGAGGGGTCTCCCCCGCTCAATCCCACCGCGGGGAATCTTCTCCCTATCCCGATGTTTTGTCATCCCGATCCATCCCTGCCCCCGCCCCATGACACCCAACCATCCCAGAGGTCCCCGAGCACCAGGCCACTAACACCTCACAGCTCCTCACCAGGCTGAAACCGAGTGGTTGATGACACATCTCTCTCTCTGGTTTCATTCATAATCCCACACACAACCATTCACGGGCAAGCAGAACAGACAGAGCCACAGCAATGAATCCCCAACCTGTCTGCACGGTCACAACATCTGCAGCTGCCTGAGACGTGCACACATCACGAGTGTGCTTCGTGCTAGAGGCAAACACGTCATTGCTTCTTGGAGGCTGCAAGCACCAGTGAGGCACCAGATTTCAGGGGATGGATTGGAGCCTCATGACTCCAGGTGCAAGGACAACAAATGAGAATGCCAGTGGTTACAAAACATGGACTATAAGTAACTGGTAGGTAATTATGGAGGGACGTGTCTGTGTGGCTCAGCTCCAACATCAACAGAGGGAAGAGCCTTGCCTATTGAGTCATCAGCAGCATTTCCTTCCAGCCCCGGGTTTTCCACAGGTTCCCTCTGAGTTTACTATCCCAACCCACAGTGGCTGAGCTCAGAAAGGCTGCTGAGCTCACGTCCCCAGGGAACAGGGCGCCAGTCCCCCACAGCCAGGAGAGGTTTCCTGGCCACAGCCATGCTTCAAGGCCATGGTGCCTCACCAGCCTCTTTATAACAGCAACTGAACTAAATACCAACAACATTCCAGTTCCAGCCATCACAGAAGCTTTCAAGACACCCTGTCATAACCAGCCCTGTCATAACCAAACAAGGGCTGCTGGAGTCACAAGAGAGTTTTGGTGCCCCACCCCTTTGGTTATCCAGGAGTCCCAAACTGTCCACAGCCCAATTGCCCCCATGTAGGAACTAGGTCAGCACTTCCTCTGCAGGATGAGAATTTGGCTAATGAGAGGTTGTTAAACGAGAGGAAGATGTTTCTTAATCAGGGACCAGATACCACCTAAAAACTGCAGAAGTGTGCCAGACCTTCGCATTATCACAAGGGGAGTGAATACACAGAGGGGCATTTTTACTGTACCTTCTTGGTTTGCAAGGCTACCTGAATTCTTCTACACTTTCTTCATTTCTGCTATTTAATATGGACTTTTCATTCATTTTCCAGTTTGTCCTACTCTTTCCTTCTGTTTTTCTTTTCTATTCTTTTCTCAGTTCCATATTCTGTTTCTACTACTGTCCCCAACCCTTCCAGCAGAGCTGAACAGCGAAAACATACTGATCTGTCTGTTCCATATAATTCCCACTGTAATTTTCTCTCAACAGATTTGTTACCTCATAAAAAAGTCACTGAAGGGCTTCAACGATATGCAGGGCCTTAGGACTCTCAAAACCTCATCTCACTGGATCAGGTGCCAGGTCACATGAACAAAGCATCAGGTTTGATGGGGACCAGAGGGTATCTGCCAGGGTTCTGCAGTAAAGCACCTGCTCAGTTGCCTGTGGGCTTTTCTGTGCTACTGCAACAGCACCTTTACATCTCTACCAGAGCAGAGTAATTCCCCAGGTCTGCAGGACATCTGAAGACATTTCTGAAGACCAGATAAGAGGAAGCTGAAAAATTCAGCTTCAGAACCACATGTGTCTCTGAAACAATAAATGTTTTGAGTGATCAGCGTTTCTAGGCAGTGAAACAAATCAGTGTTTCCATTCCCGGGGGAAGTGGGAAGCAAGCAAACTCCATTCTTCTATTCCATAGCATACAGGAAACCTAAGTGATTGATAGCAGCAGTAGGGAAATGCACATTCAGCTTATATTTCCAATGTAAATGACTTGCCACCTCACCCCTCTGCTTCCTGTTCCTTCCCAGCACGCTCCCCCCACACACTCCAGCTGATCGATGTACTGTGTGTGAATCTGGGAGGAAGAAAGGAAGAAGGACTTGTTAGACTGCTTCCCCCCACCCCAATTTAAATGAGAAAGATAACATGCAAAACCAAAGGGCAAACAGCTGTTCAGGATTGAGCTCTTTTTGCCCACAGACCCAGGGTGTTGACATAGGGAGGGACTAAGGAATCCTCCAGCACTGCTCCCAGACCCCATCCTGTGTCAGGTGCAGAAGGCCCCTGCTCTTACAAAACCGTCTCCTTGTATTACAAAGGTCAAAGCAGTAAGCAAAGAGGCTTTTTAGAATGCTGCACACCGTTTGTGGGACCTGCCTGGCTCACAGGGGCGCCGAGACACAGCGATTGCCAAGGCAAGAGAAGGAACGCAGCGAACATCCGCTCGCAGGAGGCGTGCCCCTGTTCTTTCCCAGGCAGCTCACTGAGAGGTGCTTATTTTTACAAAGCAGGCTCTGAGATCTTAAAGAACCAATGTTGTCGTGGTGCCCTAAACCAATGAGTATGTGACCTACTCGTTCCCACTCTGTCCCTTGACCTTTTCCCATAGCATTCTCCAAAAGCATCACGTGAAAAATAGCCCTTTCTCAGCTCTCCAGAGGCTTTGGAGACAGCATCAAAGCTCTGTGCTTATAAACAACTCCAGCTAGGCCAAAATGCCATTCCAGCATCAGGGGTCCCAGGATTTGTAAGCCTGTCACAAGGAACTGGAGGGAGAGGGGGCAGGGGAGAGGCAGCATGTGTTGCCAAGAGAAGGGGGAAGCAAGAGCCAGGCAGCTGGAGTGAGAGCTGAGCTCCATGAAAGCCCCATGGGCTGAGACAGGGTTTGCCCACACACCTCAGGGATCTTTTTACCTCCTTCCTTATTACAAATAGCTCTCTGAGCATAGGCTGAAGGATCATTTACCTCATTGATCCTTCAACCTAATTTCCCCGTTCTTACACTCTTCTCTGACCTTGCACATCCACTAACACTCCAGCATCCACTCTGGAGGAGAATTTACAGCCCAGGTGAAGACAGAACTCAGACTGCAGAGCAGCAGTCCTTGAGCACCAAGACCAGTTATTTGTTGACTCATCAGGATTTAATAGCAGTTGGCCAACAAATACCTACAGGAATCCCTGTCAACTCCCCTGGTGTCTCACAGCATCCCTAGCACACTGCTCCTGCCTTTTGCTGAGAAAATTTCAGCTGTTCCCAGTTTTTGTGTTTCCTCATAGCTCCAGATCTTGTTTCCCTTGGCAATGTCTGCACACACTCCTTGAATATGTCCTGAAAAGCAAATGCCTCAGAAGGCACTCTACAACCGAGACTTTTCCTCAACCATCATTCTCTTCCTCTGACTTCAACCCATTCTTCATTTTCCCCTCTATTTGTCCTCCTATTCCTAACACAGGCTACAGGCAAGGCCTCCAGCTGGGCAATCCATAGCAAAGTCTGTTCGAGGACTAATTACAGTTCAGAGACCACAGTCCCTTGTTTCAGTGTACTGCTGTTACCATGAAAACAGCAACATGCAGGAAAGAAAGGAGATAAGTCCCTTGTAAGCACCTACCAGCGTGTCACCACTGTGCCTGGAGCTCCAGCACTCCATGGTCACGTATTCCATGGTACAGCCCAGCAGCCAAGGAAAGTCATTTTTATGTCTGGATACGTGAACCAGTGGCAGCCAAGCCAGGCTGGTGTTTGTGTAGCTCTTACGTGGCAATAGGGACAATTATTGCCCTCTTGCAGGGCAATAATTTCAGTCCCAACAAGGAAACTGGATAATTAGAGAGAAAAGCAGCAGGCGCTTCAATCATTCCGACCGCGTCAGGTCTTTTCAAATGTCACGAAAAGAAATGGTGGGATAATGAATGCCTTGACTCACTTTCAAAGCACCTGACAGGACAGCCAAGAGGAAGTAACAAGGTTAGGAGGGCTCCATCATCCTTCCTGCTTCCTGGGGACTGACCCTAGAGGGTGAGAGATCTGGGACAGGATGGTGTGATCATAGGATGGCATAAAACAGAAATACAGTCACGGGAGTTCTTTTGCTGTAGATGTTTCCAGTTTAAGAACAAACCTCCTGACTTAACTCTGGTTGATCGTTTTAATTTTTTATTTTACTTGTAGCTCTTCTTCACCATTTTCCCTTTTATATAGCATCAGAAAAGCATTAACTCATGGCTTTGTTTCGTTCCATTGACATAACTGCTTAAATATCCTTCCTGATGTTTTGACATATATCACTTGGACAGACACTTAGAAATTTAAACCATGGAAGCAGGAGGACATTTTAAAAAATTAGAAAATATGTGGACAATTCCTCTGTTATTTTAACAGTATGAAGACTCAACACTTGTGTAACTCTGCCAGCAAATGCAGGGAAATATGTGCTTACATGGCACATATAAATATAAATATGAAACTGAGCACATGGATTTTTAGACATAAGCCACACTTTTGCTACACACCCTGCACACACATTGTAAGCCCCGTGTTCACAAACACACATTAACAGCACATAAGGCAGGCACAGATTATTTTCAGTGCAAAGCACCTTTTTCTTTCTATAGACAACAGGAGCATGTGTACCAAGGGAGCACACATACACTGAGCATGCAAACAAAACATCCATTCATTCCATGTAACAAAATTTAGGTCTACTGAATGAAGAATTGCACCTGTGTATCCATTTAGAATAAATTTGACATTAGCAAATGTACAATTGCTGTGAAAGGAAATAATATATCTGATGCACTCAACAAAACACCCATAATTGTTCAGCCCAGAAAACAGGAAAACAGAACAATCAAACGAAATGACACACACACATAGGCACTGCATGTGTACAGAATGTACACTGGTGAAAGCACACCATCATAAACAAACACACTATTCCCAAAAGACTTATCCATACCCTAATGCTGTGCTGAAATGAACACAGGCAAATCCTTAACCATATGCTCACCTGCACAAATATATATCAGAAGAACAAAATCCCATTGCACGTAATAAGGAGTCCAAAATGCACACTTTAGAAATGAGGAACACACTACACAAATACCCAACTGGTGCATAAAAGTGTTATATATGGGCTCCATAGGAGATAACTCATATGTCTTAAGTACAAGCTGCAGATAACAAGCCTAATGCACTGGGGGCTGCATTTTGCCCTGTAGTTCACAGCACAGCACATAGAAGTGGGGCTGAGGTCACATCTGGCCCCACACAGGTTCAGTGACTATAGTTGACATGTAGAATCTGATCTTCTCCCAGAAGAAGCACCTGCAATGCTGCTGTAATTCCCCAGAGCCAGCCTAGAACTACATAAGCTACTATGTCTGGACTGCCATTCTGCTGCACCAGCCAATAAGCCATTTGGAGATTCATTGGCAATTCTCCCAATTTTTTCCCGTCTAGGGTACTCAAGAATTCAAGTTTAAGGGGAGGAAACTACTGCAACCCTTACAGGAGGTGCCCTCCCACCTTACTGCCTTTACACCTGCAGTGGAGGGCAGTCCCTAGCTCCACTACAGCTTGAGTCATCATCTGAGCAACAAAGCAACTGCTGGAGCTAGGGGATAAAGGCATTTTACTCCCCTATATTGCCCAGATAAGACCTGTGATAATTTTACAGTCAGACTATCGAGTACCTAAACAGAAACAAATGCACCTAATCCAACGCATCGCTGGGCAATGCCAGACCAGCCAGCCAGGCATGACTCCAGCATTCATCAGAAGCATCAGGAAGAACACACTGCTGCATGCCTGAGGCCTAGAGACAGTCTTCCACTTCAGAAAGGTTTGCATACAGAGAAAGCACTCCTATTCCACAGCTTCTGTCCAATACAGGCTAAATGTGAAATCCCAGTGACCAGCCTGCAGCTTGAACACCAGACTCTGCTTCAGCTGCTTCACTTTCCACACCCACAGACACATCCTGTGGTATGTGATCATTTCATCTATTGCAGCTTGTTAAGAATGCCTGAGCTAAACTCACCATAAAGGCTTAGAAACAGCATGTTTGCTTCTGCTTCCAGAAATGTCCATTTTTCTCTACTGTGATGAAATCTAGACTTGCTTAGACACAGCTGTCCATGTTAAGTGACACAAAAGGCCATCCACATCTCTCCTTTGGTCCTTCATCAGGGAAATGGGATTCAACATCGCTCCATTAGCTCTGCCAAAAGTTACAGTCTCTCTAAACGCTGTGAACTGCACAGCACCACACATGGAAAAGGATCTCATCCTGCTATCACAGCCCAGCCTGATGGTAGAGCAACAGGGTAGACAGCACTTGGGTTCTGCCTCATCCCTCCCAAATGCCTCTGACCAAGCAAAAGCTGTGGAAATCCAGAAAAACAGGAAGTATCTTTTTTTCTCCAGGTGCTCTATATGGTGAGTAGAGCTAACCAAAAGAAAAACAAAACAAATCAGGAGAGACTAATGAATAAAAATAACAGACTCTCTGCTTTTCTTCTTGTAATTTCCCCACCCCAGACAGCTGTAATGTGGAAAGTATTGAAATTTAAATCACACCTCAGCCTAACCTCAGCTGACAGGCTGCCGATGCAATAATCTCAGCCTGGCTATCTTCTCTCAGGGAGAACGACAAACCAACTAAAACAAAGTGATAAATTTTCAATTTTATTTTAAAATATACCAGATGGGAGATTTTATTTGAGTCATAAATATGTCAAAAGCAATGTTGGCATATGATTGGAGATTGCCCCCACCAAGGGAACAGCTCTCCTTGTTTAGAAGTGCTATCAGATTCTTAATAAGAGGC